AACGTGGGATGGCTAGGAAAGGTACATGACGCTCGCATCTTCAGGAACTCTGGTCTGTTTCAAAAGCTGCAGGAAGGGACTTTATTCCCAGACCAGAAAATAACTGTTGGGGATGTTGAAATGCCTATATGTATCCTTGGGGACCCAGCCTACCCCTTCATGCCATGGCTCATGAAGCCGTACACAGGCAGCCTGGACAGTAGTCAGGAGCTGTTCAGCTACAGGCTGAGCAAGTGCAGAATGGTGGTAGAATGTGTATTTGGACGTTTAAAAGCACGCTGGCGCAGTTTACTGACTCAGTTAGGCCTCAGCGAAACCAATATTCCCACTGTTATTACTGCTTGCTGTGCGCTCCACAGTATCTGTGAGAGTAAGGGGGAGACGTTTATGGTGGGGTGGGAGGTTGAGGCAAATCGCCTGGCTGCTGGTTACGCGCAGCCAGACACCAGGGCAGTTAGAAGAGCACAGGAGGGTGCGGTGCGCATCAGAGAAGCTTTGAAAACCAGTTTCATGACTGGCCAGGCTACGGTGTGAAAGTTCTGTTTGTTTCTCCTTGATGAAACCTACCGCCTCTTGGTTCACTCTACTTCCCTGTAAGCTAACCACCCTCCCCTCCTCGCTTTGATCACCGCTTGCAGAGGCAATAAAGTCATTGTTGCTTCCCATTCATGCATTCTTTATTCATTCATCACACAAATACGTGGATAACTACCAAGGTAGCCCAGGAGGGGTGGTGGAGGAGAGAAGCACCAGGAGGGGTGGTGGAGGAAGGAAGGACAAGGCCACACACCACTTTAAAAGTTTAAAACTTTAAAACTTATTGAATGCCAGCCTTCTGTTGCTTGGGCAATCTTCTGGGGTGGAGTGGCCGGGTGGCGTTCTTGGGCATCTGGGTGAGGAGGCTATGGAACTTGGGGAGGAGGGCAGTTGGTTACACAGGGGCAGTAGCGGCGGTCTGTGCTCCTGGAGCTCAACCATATGCTGGAGCATATTGGTTTGATCCTCCAGAAGCCTCAGCATTGAATCCTGCCTCCTCTCATCATGCTGCCGCCACCTTTCAGCTTCAGCCCTCTCTTCAGCCCACCACCTCTCCTCCCTGTCATTTTGTGCTTTCCTGCACTCTGACATTGTCTGCCTCCACGCATTTGTCTGTGCTCTGTCAGTGTGGGAGGACAGCATGAGCTCAGAGAACATTTCATCACGAGTGCGTTTTTTTCACCTTCTAATCTTCACTAGCCTCCGGGAAGGAGAAGATCCTGTGATCATTGAAACACATGCAGCTGGTAGAGAAAAAAAAAAAGAGGCAGTGGTATTTAAAAAGACACATTTTCTAGAACAATGGCTACACTCTTTCACGGTAAACCTTGCTGTTAACATTACATACACAGCACATGTGCTTTCGTTCCAAGGTCGCATTTTGCCTCTCCCCACCACATGGCTAGCCTCACCCCCTCCCCCCGGCTAACAGCGGGGAACAATTCTGTTCAGCCACAGGCAAACAGCCCAGCAGGGATGGGCACCTCTGAATGTCCCCTTAGGCAGCCTTGGGTGGGTTTGGGGGGTACAGGCTCCAGGTCCAGGGTGAGAAACAGTCCCTGGATGTCGGGAAAACCGGTTTCTCCGCTTGCTTGCTGTGAGCTATCTACAACTTCATCATCATCATCTTCCTCATCCCCAAAACCTGCTTCTGTGTTGCCTCCATCTCCATTGAAGGAGTCAAACAACACGGCTGGGGTAGTGGTGGCTGAACACCTAAAATGGCATGCAGCTCATCATAGAAGCGGCATGTTTGGGGCTCTGACCCGGAGCGGCCGTTCGCCTCTCTGGTTTTCTGGTAGGCTTGCCTCAGCTCCTTAAGTTTCACGCGGCATTGCTTCGGGTCCCTGTTATGACCTCTGTCCTTCATGCCCTGGGAGATTTTGACAAATGTTTTGGCATTTCGAAAACTGGAACTGAGTTCTGATAGCATGGATTCTTCTCCCCATACAGCGATCAGATCCCGTACCTCGCGTTCAGTCCATGCTGGAGCTCTTTTGCGATTCTGGGACTCCATCATGGTCACCTCTGCTGATGAGCTCTGGCCAGCGTGGTAAGCTGCAGGTGACCATGCAAACAGGAAATTGAAATTCAAAAGTTTGCGGGCCTTTTCCTGTCTACCTGGCCAGTGCATCTGAGTTGAGAGTGCTGTCCAGAGCGGTCACAATAGAGCACTCTGGGATAGCTCCCGGAGGCCAATTGCGTCCACAGTACCCCAAATTCGACCCAGCAAGGCCGATTTAAGCGCTAATCCACTTGTCAGAAGTGGATTAAGGAAATCGATTTTAAGAGCCCTTTAAGGTGAAAAAAAGGGCTTCATCATTTGGACAGGTGCAGGTTTACATCGATGTAACACTGCTAAATTCGACCTAAACTCCTAGTGTAGACCAGGGCTTGCACTACTAATTTCTGTCAGATTCAAGAGATTAGCCTTCCTTTCCTAGGCCTTTGTCTCTCCATTCCTGCTGAGACGTTCAGTAGGACATAAAAATCAGAATAAAATATGACAGGTTTCAGAGTAACAGCCGTGTTAGTCTGTATTCGCAAAAAGAAAAGGAGTACTTGTGGCACCTTAGAGACTAACCAATTTATTTGAGCATGAGCTTTCGTGAGCTACAGCTCACTTCATCGGATGCATACTGTGGAAACTGCAAAAGACATTAGATACACAGAGACCATGAAACAATACCTCCTCCCACCCCACTGTCCTGCTGGTAATAGCTTATCTAAAGTGATCATCAAGTTGGGCCATTTCCAGCACAAATCCAGGTTTTCTCACCCTCCCCCCCCCCCCCCCCAAACTCACTCTCCTGCTGGTAATAGCCCATCCAAAGTGACCACTCTCCCTACAATGTGCATGATAATCAAGGTGGGCCATTTCAGCATAAATCCAAGTTTAACCAGAATGTCGGGGGGGTGGGGAGGTAGAAAAAAGCAAGGGGAAACAGGCTACCTTGCATAATGACTTAGCCACTCCCAGTCTCTATTTAAGCCTAAATTAATAGTATCCAATTTGCAAATGAATTCCAATTCAGCAGTTTCTCGCTGGAGTCTGGATTTGAAGTTTTTTTGTTGTGAGATAGCGACCTTCATGTCTGTGATTGCGTGACCAGAGAGATTGAAGTGTTCTCCGACTGGTTTATGAATGTGATAATTCTTGACATCTGATTTGTGTCCATTTATTCTTTTACGTAGAGATTGTCCAGTTTGACCAATGTAAATGGCAGAGGGGCATTGCTGGCACATGATGGCATATATCACATTGGTGGATGTGCAGGTGAACGAGCCTCTGATAGTGTGGCTGATGTTATTAGGCCCTTTGATGGTGTCCCCTGAATAGATATGTGGGCACAGTTGGCAACGGGCTTTGTTGCAAGGATAGGTTCCTGGGTTAGTGGTTCTGTTGTGTGGTATGTGGTTGTTAGTATTTGCTTCAGGTTGGGGGGCTGTCTGTAGGCAAGGACTGGCCTGTCTCCCAAGATTTGTGAGAGTGTTGGGTCATCCTTCAGGATAGGTTGTAGATCCTTAATAATGCGTTGGAGGGGTTTTAGTTGGGGGCTGAAGGTGACGGCTAGTAGCGTTCTGTTACATTTTACACATACACATACACATTTTAAAGAGAGTGGTCACTTTGGATGGGCTATTACCAGCAGGAGAGTGAGTTTGTGGGGGGGGGGGGGCGGAGGGTGAGAAAACCTGGATTTGTGCTGGAAATGGCCCAACTTGATGATCACTTTCGATAAGCTCTTACCAGCAGGAGGGTGGGGTGGGAGGAGGTATTGTTTCATGGTCTCTGTGTATATAATGTCTTCTGCAGTTTCCACAGTATGCATCCGATAAAGTGAACTGTAGCTCATGAAAGCTCATGCTCAAATAAATTGGTTAGTCTCTAAGGTGCCACAAGTACTCCTTTTCTTTTTGAGAATAAAATATAAATGTTCTGAGTTTATGGACATTGGTTCATTTTACTTTTGAAGCCAAAGGAAAAGCATAAGTTCCATAAAAACATACTATCTAAATAATATATGGAATGTGTTACTAAAGCCTATGCTTCTCTGAATATCACAGTCCTGAATAGCAACTCCACCATGTGAACTAAAAAAGGGCACTATTTTTAGTAACAGATTTGTAAAGTTGCTGTGTGGTCCTCAAGGTGTGATTTTAGTAGACACTATAGTGTAGTCAAATATGCTTCAGTAGATGCAGCTTTCAGTAGGGCTCTTCTAGCATATGTTCTGGAGAAGTAATCTCACCCTGTTGGTTAGAGGGAGAGCCATACAAATCCCTTTTCTTTGAGTTGCTGTCTTCTCTGTTTCAAGAATAGGCAATTTTTCATAGGTAAATGATACTGGTATTTCTCTACCAGACTGTCAGATACCCACCCATCCCTTATTTCTAGTCTGTTTGTTGTTATGCATTATTCACTTGTTAACTACTATCTCTGAAATATCTCTCTCCAGGAGAATCTCTGTTCATAATTCCTAGTTGGCTCTATCTGGCTACAAGATTTTCATTGTATTTAAATTTGTTGGAACTAACTTTTGTCCAGTTTCATTCTAAGCAAGTATGTCTCACCTTCCAGGATGTAAATACATCGCTTTATAGTCATCACTAACAGGAGCCTTGATTCAGCTTCTGCTAGTGCTCAAAAATTCTGCTATTCCATTAGTCATTTGTGCTTGTTTTAGTGTGATATTAGGACAAACATACCCAGTTAGAAAACTACCTTACAGGTAAGAAAAATGGGCTTTTCCCATATTATCAAATTCTGGAAATTGAGAGTGTCTTCTCTTTTTAGTACTTTCAGGCCCAGCCAGCACAAGAAGCAAAGCTACTTAAATTTAGATTTTTGTTTGTGTATGAATAGGATGCAGTACCCGCTGAGTCATCTGGACTTGTGTAAATTCTTTTTCTAATATGTATATCTTTGTGTGTATAATGGGTATCGTATATTTCTTTATTAGATTATAGATTGCAGCATGGCAATCCAGGAGGAAGCCAAAGAGCCATATGTCTCGTCAGTGCTTCCCTGGATTATTTTGCACCGGATTATCCAGCATGAAGAAGATGCCTTCCGATCCCTTTGCTGTCAGCAGCAGCAGCTCCAAAGCCAGGGCGAGGAAGGTAATAGTTTAATTTGTCAATGTTATATGTTGTTAAACCATTGCTCCTTATCCTTTTCTTCTTTGGCATGTGTATGGGAAATGGCTAGTGTTCTTTTGTCCCTCTCACTTAGGGAGTCTCCAATCTTCATTCCCTCGCCACAGTGGATAGTCGTTCTGAGGAAAGGTTTCCTTACCAAAGCATGGAGAAATAAGTAGCTAGGTAGGTTAGCTCAGTTTTGTACTTAGGAGATATAATTACTGGCATCTTTCTTCCAGTGAGTCCTGACACACCTATGCTGCCTCCTTCCCTCATGTTACTGAACACCGCCCATGAGTACCTAGGAAGAAGATCTTGGTGTTGTAACTCAGATGGCGCCCTTCTCAAATTCTATGTGAGTATTGATGCCTAAATATTAAAAATATTTTTAAAAAATCTGTTTTTTCTCCTGTTCCCTACCCCCATATACATGTATTGGAATGGCCATTTTATCCTAGGTAATGAAGTATTTAAGGATTGTTCTTCCCAACTGTTGTCTATCATAACTTTTTCAGATTATCTGTCTTTCCTAAACAAACAAAACCATGTCATTTGCCTGGGATAACAGACTGTCTTATGATTACTCAGTCACTATACATTTCTTTGAAACTGTAAAGCACTGTATAAATGTTATTACTGATTTGCCTGAAAAAATTATGCTCTCGTATCAGCCTGTGTTCTCAGTGGTCAACACAAAGTTCAAATTATGCAACTTAAATTTTAATAAAGCAATGGTGGTTTCTGTAATTTTTTTTTTAAGAGAGAGGAAAAAAATAATTAATTGAACTGAGGTTTTCTGAAGTTAGTAGAAACCATGTTAATGAATGGTATCGTCAGCATCCATCAACATTACTTGTAACCTGATGACTGATCATGATAATTTTTTTTTTTTTAATTGTGCTCTGGTCCAGATATCTGGTTCAAAGGGCACTTGTTGCTCTGCAGTGTGGGAGCAGAACCAGACCTGTCAATCACTAGCTGCAAGGGAATACCGTGACCCTGAAATTTTTATCTGCCTTTGCAGCAGCCGGTGGTTCATCCAGATCTTCGTGCTGCAGAGCTTTACTGAAACTTTGTTTCAAGTTTCTGAATAATTTTTGGCTTAGTAGTGTGTCTTATTTCGCTGCCATCTCCTTGGGCTTCTTCCCTCCTTTTGGGGGAAATTGTCCCCCAGCTCTACTTGTCCCTTTGAGGCATTTGCAGTAGCTGGCACCCCTACAGGCTTCAGGGGAGACAGCTAAACCAAGGAAAGGCAAAAGGCGAGGTCTGTATCCTTCCTCTGTTTATTGAGTGTCGCGTTAGGGAACTCAGCCAGCTCTGTGGACAAGATGCTCAGTCTGAGCAGGTTTGCCTTTGTTGCCATTCCCTGGGCATGAGGGATAGATGAGGCCAGCTCTGCTGGGCAAGACACACGCATTGTCTCAGCAGCTTAGTCTAGGTGGGGTCACTTTGGTTCCCCTCCCCCAGGCAGGAAAGGAGGCTGCTAGGATTAGAAAAACCAGCTCCAAGGGTTAAGCAGTTCCCCCCTCTCTCAACTCCATGAGGGGAGTAATGCCAGAATGGCATCATGACTTTGTCCCTAGAGCCCTCACCAGCAGCATGCTGCTGACTGCAGAATTCAGCCACTTCCTACTCCTCAGGCTCTCCTCAGGCCATGGATGGAGGACACTGGATACAATAAGGATGCTGCTGACACCAGACAGCGTGATAAGGGACCTTCATGCCCAGCTCCCTTCCCCTGCTACTGACTCTACAACAGGCTTCCCAGGGGTTCTATACTGCGGGCTGGAGCCTCCTAGGGAAATACAGACCTGTCTGGCCCGTGTGGCTCCCATGTAACAAACAGGAGTCCAGTCCATCCTGAACTCCAGACCAGTACTGAAAGAGGGCTCATACGGGCTGGGTGGGGAGAGACAATCAAGAGAGGGAGTGCTAGTCACTAAATATTTTTGAAACCGTGTTTGAGCCCAGATTTGCATCTTCCTCTAAAGCAGGATCATAGGAAAAATACCCAAAAGGGAAATAAATAAATAAAATTAGTGCTGTTTTCCCTGCTCATGTTCCTGGGGTACAGCAACAGATAATCCTCAGCACCTAATTCCCTTGCTCATATTCACAGAGTTCAGCACAGCAGATCAATGCAGAAAAGACAGGACCACAGAGATGCACTGATTCCTGTGGGCATGCACACATACTTAAACGCACGCACACACAAGGAATTCTGCTGTGGGGAGGAAGTCTAACTGTCCACATCAGAATTTGAGGCTCAAAAAATAAAATGTGTATATTAAGACAAAAAAACCCAAAACACTTTCAGGTGGAGTTCTTTGAAACTATGCTAGGACTTCTGCAGCTGCCCTAGACAATTCTTTAATGATTCTAGGTTGATCTGAGGAAGAAATAGGTTTTGTTTACCTTGTCCATGCATCATTGCTTAGTGCCTACTGTCTTACAGGAAGGCTTTTCTTCATTGCATTAATGTTACAGCTAGATAGTATTATAGAATCCAGGAGTGGATTTTAAGGCACTAGTACTGCAGTATTAGTAGAAGAAGGGAGGGCTGTCAGATCACTGGTGACTTTTATGATGATATATAGTGGTTTAGTTAATGCTGGGGAGAACAAGTCTCCTATAGCCAGCAGTAGAATTTTTGTCAGCAGATGCTTCCTCTTATCCAACTAGAATTTAGAAGGTGCATCGCTTACATTTAGATTAGCACCCCACATGTGTTAGTGTGCTCTGAAACAAACCCTGAATTCCAATACTTGAGTCATCAAGTACTTTTAACAAAAGCCATATTTAACGTTTTGTAGCTTATTACAAGTAGTCAGTAGCAGCTTTCAGAGCCAAAAAGGAGTTGAAAGGCTGAAAATCAGGAAGATATTCCAGTGTGGAAGAAAACATTAGAAGAGAAAATGGGCTTCACAAACATGCTAGACACAGGTGTGTGTTTTACACAGTATCCCATCATAGTAAATTACCACCATCTGTAGGTGAACCATCTGCTGGCACACATTGCACTGCTGGTGGCTGAAGGATATTGTGTAATAAAAAATGTTAATATGGCATTAATACATTTACTATAGCCACAGTTTGAAGCATTCATTACAAAATCATTCTGGATTGTTGCTAAGAAAGACTATTATTAAAAGCTGAGTAAGGGCACGGGTTGTACTTGTCACTGTTCAAATAATTCTGTCAAGTGGGTATTTTAGTGTTTATACACTTTGCATTGTGTAGGCATGTCATGCTTTTACTACAGTTTGTGGTAATAATTTACTCCTTCCTTTCATCCTGGTCACTATTTACCTCCATTGCACACTTTTAATTTTCAAAAATTGTTAATCACATTTCCTATGACACACTCTGCTGTGATAAAGTGACTACTGTGACTCAAAGCTTCATTGAAATACATTCTAAAATTTCTCATTTCACCCTAATATATGTATTCTCAGCTTCTAAAAAGCGCTGTATGGTTTGTAGCACAGTTCTGCTAATAGGAAAGCCAGGCTGTCAGGAATCGAGGCCTGCAACAGAGCCAGTCTCTGGGCAACCTAACAAGTGCAACTGGCCATAGTAGGCTGCCTGATCGGCTACAGAGCCTTACTTGTCGGAAATGTCAGAAGACCAGCTCTTAAACCCAGCAATAGCTGCAGTTCGATGACTGCTCAAAGCATTCACCTATGATTGTGATAGTTCCTGTGACTGCTTGTTGCCAGCTTTTGTCCCTTAATTGTTCCAGCCCTGCTCCAGCCTTGTCTCGCTCCAGGTAACCTGGCTCTGATCCTCTGCTCCTATTTCTGACTGTGTCTCTGCCATCTGGCCTCTGACGCCAGCTCTGACCCTAGGCTCCTATTCTTGGCTACGGACATCTGCTTTAAGTGCTGGGCCTGAGTCCTGCTCCAACCACTAGGCGCGGACGTCCACATCCCAGCCTTACTGCCCTACTGCTGAGTCATCAGGTCACTCATATTTTTTCTTGTATAGCAAAGGGTTTCTGATATCCCTTTTGGCACCGTTGTTTCTCTACTTTCTTGTACCCAAATGACCATTTCCTCTACAATCCAGTTTCACAGCAAAGAATAATGAAAAGCCTAGACACACAAACTAAGAAAATCTAGGCCACTACTCAATTCTTTATAAGCAGGTATGAAGTTTGCATTACAAGTACAATTTTGTTCTGTAGCCTTTCACCTCTGCTACTTGTTTTAGAGTCTCTAGGAACACAAAGACCAAGGGTAGTGACCACACATACATTCACAAGTATGAGGTCTGGTCTATTTTAGAAGTTTTATTAAAGTTACAATTAAAGTTATTACCTAAGCATATAGAAGTTCTATACAGACCTCTGCACGAGTTACAAATATAGTTACACACACATCATTAACAATAGTGTTAGGGTCTGATGGGTCTCTTATGGATTGATCATCAGTAGAGGGATGGTTCCAGCTGGAGTGTCCCATAGGGAGTACAATTTTCCCACTCTGGGCACCCTCTTTTTATGTGTCTATACCTACATTTTGCACATGTGCATAAAAATGTGAACCCTCTTTTTCCTTATTGGTCTGATGTCCTGAAGAAACTACAGGGACCCCAATTTCTATAGATTGTGTAGGCTCTCATTATTCTCATTAGCATTGACACACAATCTGTATCATGTGGTTAAGATACATGTTGGAGACAAGATTTGCCTTTACAGTATTTTTATGATTTAAAATTAATCTTCTGGCTAATTTTTTGCAATATTACCACTTGGTACCTCTTTTCCCATAATCTAAGGGCATCGGGTTATTCTTTGGTCACTTATTTATGTCAGCATTTCTTAGCTCCAAGGCCTAAAATAGCTAAGCTAAAATCTTGCAGGCCTCAGCCTATAGGCCTTGCGTTTCAGCCCTACTTGCTTAGATTCCTAATACGTGATTATTCCCTCTACATACCAACCAATCTTGTACTTCTGTAGTCCTACAACTTAACTCTATTTAGCATACAATGATTATATATAACATAACATGTTAGTTAATTACACACAATAAATGAACAATAAACTAAAATCATTGGCTGTAGTTCCTGTTGGGGAAAAATAAAGGATCTCATCGCTTCCAGTGCTAATTCTATGGTTACCTTTCTTATTTATAGTATGATGGCATTTTGCCTTGTATTATTATTACTAGTTTCTATTGCAGTAGTGCTTAGAGCCCCATCCTGATCCCCAGACAACTTGTTGTCACTGAAAGGTCTATTTGCATTTTTTGTGAGAACAGAGGTATTAAAGAAAAGTTACCGATCATTATAAAGGAGGACTACAAATGGTGTGAGACTTATACAAAGTAGAAGCAATTCATAATGGAGAACATAATTCTTCCGTGCCTGTAACCTCCCAAAATGATTTCACTAGCAGCTTTTCTTTCTTCTTATCCCAAGTTAGTCTTTACTTAAGCTCATAGAGATGCTTATTTCCCTCATTTTTACTTCTGGTACTACAGTGCCTCTTTACAGAGAAGAAATGGAGTAAAGTTTCCAACAAGCATTTGACATATTTTGAATGTAATTTCCATTATCAGTATGTACTGAAATGTGATTTATAAGACTTCAGTTCAGCGGTACCGACTTTCTAATGTGCTGGGGGTGCTCAACCCCCCCAGCTCTGCCCCAACCCTGCCTCTTCCTGCCCCACTCTGCCCCCAAGTGCACTATGCCCTCTCCCCTCCCCTCAGCGGTTTTTGCATGCTGCGGAACAGCTGATCCGTGGTGGGCAGGAGGCACTGGGAGGGAAGGGAAGGTGGTGATCTGCGGGGCTGCCAGCAGGTTGGAGATGCTGAGGGAGTGAGGTTGGAGCTGGCTGCTGGTGGTGCTCAGCACCTACCATTTTGTCCCTGTTGGTGCTCCAGCCCTGGAGCACCCCTGGAGTCGGCACCTATGCTTCAGTTGGTGGTTAAACCAGTCTTTCATACAGGGGCAGAATCAAAAACACAGATTACTCTTGGTGAAAATGCCTGTAAATGACACTGAAAAAATCAAGCCCTTCACAAAAATGTTCCCTTTAGGGATCTTATCAAAGATCTCATAGAGCCACCTTTTTTACTCTTCAGCCTTCTATTGCAGATCTGTCCCCAAAACGTTGTAGAACTAGGTGTTATCCTTTTAAAAAAAAAGGGGGGGGGAAGGCAGCTGATGGCTACCCTCTTCTCCCCATAACTGTGGAGTGAGAGCTGATCAATTGTAGCCAAGATAGGTACATTTGCAACATATATTCACACTGTGCATTTTGGGGATAATATTTGTGTAAATTTTATATGCAAAACTGACATTGCCTTTGGCCTCCTGGTAAACTATTAATGCAGCCCTTGGTATCCTAATATGTGAGCATCCTTACCTGGTACATAGTTAAAGTTTTTCTTTAGAAAAGGCTTTCCTGTTTTCCATTATTTGGCCTGCAGAATTACAGAACTTCAGGCTGTAATTGGTATTACTTTTTCAGTGAGAATCTATAAATGATTTTTTGTAGGTTCTAATGGAACTTCTAGACCTAAGGGGATTTGTAAATATGTAGCATAAACTTTGAGATCAAGCTTAGAAGCTCTTTGTCCAAATCTCAGATGATATATCCTCTTATCAGTCAAGGTTAGGTTTTCCCATCTCTAAATGTTCACTGGGAAGATGGAGAATTTTCTCTTTTAAAGAGAATTATTTCATATAACATGGCTCCTTCCCATCTGTAGTGGAGCTCACTCATCCAGAGCTGTGGATGCCTGTTGGGTTGAGATTTGGAAAGTTCTGTTAACTGATGTTTGTGAGATCTATCAAACTTTCAGTAGCCATTACAGACTCCTCTGAGGTTCAATCTTCTCAGCAATAATCCAGCTGCCTTCTTTGACCCCTAGTGTATAACTAGATCATGGTATCCTACATGTGTAGTTGAAATGTTGTGGTAGAAAAGAAGGGATTACTGTGCAAGACAACGCCCTCTCTTTTCTTGCATGAATTTCATTAATTATTGCAGGTATTCCTCCACATCCTTTGAACTGGGGCCTCTTCTTTCTCATTTTTCTGTGTCTTTGGTGGTGATATTCTTCCTGAATGTCAGGGCTGGTAAAATGTAATGCATTTGTTAGAGTAAACCACCTAAATGTGCAGAGGGAAAGGTAATCAGAGAGCTTTTCAGTGACTTTTAGAATTTGGGAACATCAAGCTGAGACACCAGTCTTCAGTAAATGAAACTGGAAGAGAACATAAGTATCACAAATACAGAAGGTAAAAGAATGGTATTAGGTTACAGTGTAATGGAAATGGACATATTGCAAGAGTGATGAGCATGCAGAGACGTGGAGAACATTTGGATGTGAGTAACAGAGAAACATTAAAGTTGTTTTCTGCATGTTCTGTTCCATATAGGCTTTTATTCTGTGTTCCTCGCCGTAGTATCTGAGTGCCAGGGTTAGGAAAATAAAAATAGGAAGAATTAATTTAATGTGAAATTCAGTTATCAGACCTTGTTTGGCTTATGATGCTTGTGATGTTCTAGGTGTGGGTACTGCAAAAGGAGCTTGCAGTGTCTACCTCTGAAGATACTCATCCCTACAAAGAGGAACTGGAGACAGCCCTGGAGCAGTGTTTTTACTGTTTGTACAGCTTCCCAAGCAAAAAGAGCAAAGCAAGGTACCTGGAAGAGCATTCTGTGCAGCAGGTAAGATAAGCACAGTTTACCTTTAGTGTAACACCTTAGAATGCTGAAGAACGTGGTTTTCTCCTGTGTCAATATGTTGAGCTGAATTAATGGGAAGGAGTCATAATTACTAGGGCCTGTTTTCCGGACCTGAAATTCATTTCCTTTATATATGGTGAAAACTCCCTGGATCCCTAAAATAAGTATGGAACAAGAGGGCTAGATGTTGGAAATAAAGCCAATTGTAGCTTTATCCATGCTATAAAAAAACCCCTAAAACACCAAACACCTGATCTTACAGTTGATGAATATGGCAAATGCAGGGTAAAGTGAAGCTGGTAAAATATTAAAATTTTTATCTTGCCAAAGCTCCGATGGAAAATATTGGTTAGTACTGATTATTAAAACTTATAAAATTCAGTTTGGGAGAAGCAGAGCTGTGTCCAATGTCCCGAAGACATTTCACTCATTGTTAGACTGTATAGCTTTACAATTTACCAAAAAACAGATGGTCATGAAACTGTCTCTTGTGTCTGGATTTTACCCAAGAAAACACTTAATAGGTTAGTGCCTCTGAAACCATAACATAATGAGCCTGTTAAGAATTTTGTAGTGCAGTCTGCTGAGTGTTAGTATTTTCTTGCTCATAGTCTGTCTGAATTATTCTTCTCAACCTCACCTCGTCCCATATGTATGATATGCTAGAGGGCCAAAAGAAGTGTCTCAGATAGACGATTTTGTAAGACTAATAAAAAGGAGGAAGAGATGAATGGGAAGGGCAAAGAAAGGGAAAAAATAAAAGGATTGTGGGAGAAGAGAATCCCTCCTGCTGGAAACGGCACTTCTTGTCTAAAGAAGGTGGGAGACTCTGGGTGAAATCCTGGCCCCACTGAGGTAAATAACTCCCATTGACTTCATTGAGGCTACCATTTCACCCTGTCTTCAGAAGAGCAGATTGGGGAAACATGACTCAATTAGCTTAAGATAGGAAAACTACAAACACCTGAACATTTTTTTAAAAATGAAGAAAAAAGGTGATGATGCAAGGATGTGACTGGCTATTTTATTGTTTGATTTGAAAATGCTTCCAACTCTGTAATTGCTGGGGACGCATTTGGAATTTTCCTTCTCCGTTACTGGGATTTGAGTTTCAAAATCTACAGCAAATGTAGCTCTTTCCTTCTATCTCTTCTCACATCCTCCATGTCAGTCTCCAAATCTCCTGTTTCCCAGGCAGGTCTAAGCAGACTCTCCAACTCTTCCAAGTAAAGCTATCCTTATTAAAAACATTTGTTAAGTTACAGTTGAGAGCCTTAGCCTGTAATCACTGTGATGAACATTATATCTTAATAATGCCTTTGGGTGTTCCATTCTGGGAAGGTTGCACTGGTTTTCAGCTGATGTAATGTTTTTTTTTATCCTATTCTTAAAAAATGTCCCTAGCTTTTGACTTTGAGATAATTTCGCTCTCTCTTTCTCCCACCCTCTTCCCTTAAGGTGGATCTGATGTGGGAAGATGCGTTATTCATGTTTGAATATTTTAAGCCCAAAACCCTCCCTGAGTTTGATAGCTACAAAACCAGCACTGTATCTGCTGATCTGGCCAACCTTCTGAAGAAGATTGCTACGATTGTTCCTCGAACAGACAAGCCCATGTTAAGCCTAGATGATGTCTCTGGCTATATTGAAGGAACCTTCAGCAAGGTACAGTTAGTTGTGTTTAAAAAACTTCAAGGGAAGGAAATGGCTATATTGTTTCATTTTCACAGTTGGGTGGTGTCTGATTTGACATTCAATGCTCACAAAAATCACATTTTAATTGGGTTAGAATGGCCTTTCCAAAGCTTATAGTTTTACAAGGAAGAGGTACAATGTAGATGAATATGGATAGATTTAGGGATGTGGGGAAGTAGTATATACAGAGCTATTTTAAAATATGTTCCTGAGTCATCTAAGGTTTTCTGTGTTCAGGTACCATCTCTCCCAGAGGGTGCAGACTACTCTCCTCCAGTGGTGACTGAGCTGTATTACCTCCTGGCAGACTACCACTTCAAGAATAAAGAGCAATCTAAGGCCATTAAATTCTACATGCATGACATCTGTATTTGTCCAAACAGGTCAGTGTTGTTCATTCCCTTCAGTTTATCAGTGCTGAAATGAGGGACAAATCAGGGGTTTTGTTCTGTTTGGAAAGAAAGAAAACTTTCTGGTGTTTATTATTAGAAGTAAGTTTATCTTAAGGAGCATTTTGGGGAAAAAACCCTATTATTAATTATCAATTATTTGACATTTTCTTTTTGGTTTCTGAAATGACCAGAATTCAGAGAGAGTGGAAGAAATTGAATTATAATTAGGAAGAGCAAGAGGTATGATAACTGACTTGACTTTCTTTTGCTCATTGGTTTCCCTGGGGCAGTGAGAAATGGAAACTATATGTCAGTGGTTAACTGCATAAGACAAACACATACCTCTCTCGATGGATTAGCTGCTTGGGCTGGGTTTTTTAAGTTTTAGATTTGCTGGCAGAGAGGTGCTCTAAAATGGGTCAAAATGGACAGAGCTGTATTGTTCTGATGACCACTAGTTAAACTCAAAAATATTTCTCTTGTCTGCCTTTTCAGTCTTCACCATCTCAAAGGGATTCTTTCTAAGGTGAATAAGCTTCACAGTCCCTCATTTTAAAAATTGTATTTTCTATTTTAAAATTCCTCCAAAAAATGAGCTGTAATAATCTTAAAATACCAATCGATAAACCTAGGACATGCAAATTAGGCTTTTTCCTACCAGCTTCCTTCTAATGCGATGGCAAAGGGATTGAAGTTGACTAAAACTTATTCTGAAGAGCAAAAATATTGTTAAATTAAGTCATATAACAAAGCAACAGGGAGATTGTAGGCACAGAACAAAGTTATATGTGTAAATCTGCAGTCAGAACAAACCTAGCATCAATGGTTGGTCATGGTTGAGTCTTCCAGTTTAGGAACTGGGATTTTTCAAGTGTTGAAATCTTGATTTGATGGCTTATGATAAAACGGCAGGAACATTTAATACAAAATGATGATTTTTTTTGGAGGGGGAAGAGTAAAGCCTGTCAGCATTTGAGAGTGTCACTTTAAAATTCTGCTTCACAGGCTGCATTAATTTGTTACAATTAATTATCCAGCAAGGAATATCTTATATAGCAACATTGTATTTTCACCCCAGTTACTTAGCACATTATCTTTTCAAAATATCTAATTTTTAAAACCCCATGGAATGTGGGTCTTCAGATCACCTTTCAATCTGGCATGGAGTGAAGTTTTAGTCAATGTTGGTAAGCAGAAACTTAAAAGTATTATAAATATGATTAACCATCTGGTGCTAGAATCACATTAAAAAGTGGTTTCAGAGGAACAGCCGTGTTGGTCTGTATTCGCAAAAAGAAAAGGAGTACTTGTGGCACCTTAGAGACTAACCAATTTATTTGAGCATGAGCTTTCGTGAGCTACAGCTCACTTCATCAGATGTTTACCGTGGAAACTGCAGCAGACTTTATATACACACAGTGTATATAAAGTGGAAGCTCTATACCATTAAAAATGTAAAAAACCACCATTAAAAAGTGGAAGCTCTATACCATTGCTAAAATGTTTTAGCAATTTGGGTTCATCCAATGTGGAGAATACCCTTGAATTTACTGTCACTTATAAGTAAGGATATGATTTAGTCACGGAGGTCATGGATTTCCTGACTTTAATGGACCTCTGTGACTTCTTCAGCTTCAGCCCCCTCCACAGGGGCTGCAGGCCAGGGCTGGAGCTGTCCTCCCCACAGCAGACAGGGCTGTCAGTCCCACTCTTGGCAGTCGGGGCTGGAGCTTTTCCCCCCACAGCAGCAGGGGCAATCAATCCCCTCCTGCTGGTGATTTTTAGTAAAAGTCATGGACAGGTTGCAGACTTTTATTAATATTTGTTTATTGTCTGTGACCTGTCAGTGACTTTTACTGAAATAACTGTGACAAAATCTTAACCTTACTTATAAGCATAGTGCTGAATCTTGAGGTAATTCATCGCAAGGTAGCTTTTACCCTACCATAGCATGGCATGCACTCACTGCCGCAGCGCCTCCTGCTGGTTACCTCGGGAATTAGCTCTTCCAGCTCCGGAGCGCCTCCTGCTGGCTGGTGTCTCCCTACTGGTACCTGCTTCCTTTCAATCTCCACCACTGTACTTCAGGCCCCGCATCCCCACCCCAGCCCTCGGTGCCCCTTCTCTGGGGTACTGCACCACAGCCCTGCCCCCAGACCCAGGGGTCATCCCCTTCCTGGGGAACCTCAGTCCCCTAAGCCCACCTCACCTCAGTGACCTACTGCCAGTCTTCATCTACCCCTTCCCTCAAGGGCAAACTGCAGTCTGAAATGGCCGTTCATCATCGGCAAGGGGGTTGGACCTGCTGCTGCTTCCTTCCCTGGCTCTTCCCCACAGCCCTAGTACCTCCTCCGGCCCTGAAAGCAAGGCCTCTGCCTGCGGGTTTGCCAGACTGGTGCTTCCCTACCTCCTCCTGCCCTTCCCCAGAACTGCACTGTCCAAGGTACCCTTTTCTCTATCCAGGAGCCAGGTCCATCTCTCTCTCCAAGGCTGGAGAGAGACTGGCTACCCTTTCTGGTCTGCCTTCTTTTATACTGGCTTGGCAAGCCCTGATTGGCTGCCTCCCAGCCTTTTCTGATTGGCTCCCAGCCCCCTCCAAGGGCTGGGTTTTAACCGTTTCTGAGCTGAAGCGTGGTGACTGCCCCACTACACATACATCAACATTTTCCTGGAGGGAGATTTTTTGGTTCCTACTAAGTCATGTTTCCATCAAAAAAGTATAATGATAGTAAAGACCGAGTGCCATCCAGTCCTGCCATCCAAAATGTTGTTGTGAATACCGGGCTGTCTGTTAGACAAGATTTGATAATGTTTAGAGGCTAGGATGAAAGGTGATGTGTACAGTGTCTCTCAGAATGTCACCACCGTGGGAGGATGTGCAGCGGGATTATTGTTTTGGAGAAGCCTGTGATGTAAGAAGGAAACATCTGGAGAAATAGTAAAAGGAATAATCACACTCGTGATTCAAAATGCTTTGCAGCGAGTAGTTTATTTGCCGCGTTTGTTCTTTCGTGCATAGGTTTGATTCTTGGGCTGGCATGGCGCTGGCTAGAGCAAGTCGAATTCAGGACAAATTGAACTCCAATGAACTGAAGAGCGATGGCCCCATTTGGAAGCACTCTACTCCCGTCCTCAACTGCTTTAAACGAGCCCTGGAGATCGACAGCTCCAATCTCTCTCTCTGGATAGAATATGGCACCATTTCCTATGCCCTGCACTCTTTTGCATCCCGACAGCTGAAGCAGTGGAAGTTAGAACTTCCCCCTGAAGTTGTGCAGCAGGTGGGGGTCTAAGTTAGAGCTGTGTGAACTTTTTGAAATGCATATTTAAATCTTATAATGTTTCTGATTAAAGCATTCAGTACTATTGGTGTGGAATTGCTACACTGCATGGTGACTTAGCAGCATTGCTAGTCACAGCTTCCACCCAGCTCTAGTAAAAATAAACATGTAACTTGCCAGCGTGAGCACTTTTTGAAATTTTGTTAGTTTCTTCTCAAAATTAGTCTGTCTGAGATTTGAGCCTACTTAGACTCTTCCTCCAAAGATCACTCAAAAATGGCAGAACCAGCAGGAAAAAAGCCAAATACTTATGAATTTGTAATGAACTGCAAGTATCTACAATACATTTACTTTCCCTGTTACTAAACTTCATACAAATGACTTCAGAATAAGATGAAACACCTCTTTTTAAATAGGCAAAAGACCAGAAAATTGGGCAGCTCACATTTGTGCCCACACATCATCATTTCTCTTGTGTCATAATGAGGGTTCTCTTTTTGTTACATTTGGGTTATTTACTTAAGCTCATGATCAAAACTGTTCAATGACAAACATCTCAATAGCATTTTCAAGGAAGTAATTTACGTGATAATTGACCCCTGACCAACAGCCATGCATAAATTATCTTGACTGTGAAATTTTCTGCTGATCCAAGGCAGAAAAGCAACTTTAATCTTTATAAACTTGGGTCACTAGATATAGACAGTGTTGTATCCCCCTCTTTCTGACTGATACATTTATCTTCCATCCTGACTCTCAAGTATCAGATTACAGTGAAGGAATGGAAATTTGAAGGAAAAAAAAAGAAGGTGAATTGTCTCTGGTCTGTGAGCTGTTAAATACTCAAGAAAATCTAAAGTTCCCCAGTATATGAATGGAAGAGAAGGTGCAATGAGAACACCTTCTCCTCTTGCCTTCTCGAAGGCTCTCGTCCATCCTGCAAAGGTTCTGAGAAAATGTGCTCTGAATCCTATTCCTCAGCATGAAGTTAAACCGTAATTACTTTTCCAGCAAAGGTAACTAAAGAATATGCCAGACAAAATATGGAAGAGGAGACTCAAAGAAACAGTACTGGTGTGAACCACTGTGTGAAATTAAAATGAACTTTCTTACATGAGCTGAGTGGAAAAAAGGTCTTAAAATATCCTGTTGCAGACAAGTAGATAAATCACAATCTCTGGAAACAGAGAGAGACTTTTTTTAGATAACTTTAAGCATCAGGAATCATGTAGGGATATATGGCTTAGTTGATCTTTCTAACTGAAAGTTAGATGGCTTCTCAGTGAATAAGATGAGCACCTTGAAGTGAATCAGTATAAAGAGTACTTGTCTCGCTCAGGAGCATAGTATGTCACTGGAGAGATTTGGAAATCATAGAATCACTTGCTGTGTTCAGACTGCAATAAGAGGCATGCAACGCGAGCCAATCAGAGTTTGTTTTGAATCTCTCCCCCATGCTTTTCCATGTAGTTTGTTCAGAGGCATATCTTCTCCTAAATCTTACTGGGGTTTTACTTGCGGAATGAGATATGAATTAATCAATTTAAGAAATGAAGCACTGTCTTAAAGACCATTGTTCCACCCAGTATCGCTACAGATGAAGACCAAATGGCCATTACTTGAGTTTCTGAAGAGATCCATTAAAGTAATACTGTGAAATGGAAGGTGTTTGTGTCCTGAAAGCAGGAAAGAGTTAGGACTGCCTGATAACTTAACTGCACTGAAAGTTAATTGGTTATTTTGTAATCTTTTATATTGTCAGAATTTTAAAAATACCATTTTGTGATCACACAGTGCTAGATGTGTGAAAACCAAACTCTCAGTTAACTCAAGGTAGTGAATCATTTTCTTCAACACTTCTTGAGCTAGGCACAAAAGGAGCTGAAAATCTCATTTGGAAAACATGGGTCTTGGGAGGATCCCATGTTCAGAGAAAACGTATCTCAAGAGGCATAGTCATTCTTCTTGTCTTTTATTCAAAAGTCTCTAAGAGGCTCTAATCCTGAGTTAGGTGAACTGCAAAGAAAAATAAAAACTTGAGCTGAATTTCTGTGTTGAATGCCCCCATTAAGGAAGTTCTGAGGGATGTTCAACACAGAGTGGTGTTCGGCCCTCTTGGTAGATCTTGGTTCATGGAAGCTATCCCAGATGTCTCAATACAATTCATGGTATTTGTGATGTCACAGAATGATGCATTTTGGCATGTCTTCAGTGAATCAAGAGGTTATAAAAAGGTTCCACTAAGGTGGGGAAAGAACGTCTAAAAGGTTAATTATAACGTTGAATGTCTCCCACAACTTGGTTAGTGCGGAGCTTAACAAATAAATCTGGACTTAAATTTTTGCTTTGCAATTTGCCTTTGTATATAAAATGTTTTCTAGAGCAAATTTGCCCCAAGGGTTGGAATTCAGATTTTTGTCTTGCAGTAAAACAATCAGAAGTGAACAAGGGTGTTCCCATGAAGCAAAATGAACATTATATGAGCTGTTGATAATTTGGATTATAAACAAAGTGGTGGCTGTCAGCAGCCATACTCCATAGCAACAGATGATCTACTGAAATAGCATCTCTAAACAAACATGTTTGTGGAAAATGCGCTGAGTTGATTTGAATTCATGAAGGCTAACTTCAGTGAATCTCTGTGCCTCCCAGAAAAACAAAATAAACATACAGTCAAATTTACTCATCCAGGTTTTTGCTGCTCTTTAGTGGATGCTATGAAAAGTATCTTAGCGTGTTCAGGATCTCAACTTCTCAATTCCTATTTATTCATGAAATATTAAAACTAATGGTGAAAGGTCAGACACCTAACCAAGGAGATTACACCAAATCAATTTTTTGGATCCTGTTTTTAGATTTCTTGCCTCTTCTAACGATAATTTGGGAAGGTGGTCATTGTAGAAAGGGAAAGAAATCCAGGGCTCTTTCCTAGCAAAATTGTGCCTGATTGGCATGAGTTCTCGGATACAACAGTGCCAGAATTAGTTATTTATTTATTTGCGATTTTGTAGTTAGACAGATTCATCTTTTTAGTTGGCCACATACAAATTGTGATGTAGTTATTGAGAGGTGAGAACCATAGGACATGGTGATGTTGATATTAGAGTAATTTTAAGAGTATAAACATTTGCTAGCACCTCTACTCCCATCTCTTCCAAAGCTCTCGAGGTGTTAGCATCCCAAATGTTAATGGGAGGAGATTAAATTACATTTTCACCTTTCTCAGTTTTGAATGTTCCCAGGTTTGAATATTTACCACCTTCCCATTCTGTATTTATATATGTAGTACCACCATAGAAGTGTGCAGAGCTTTACACACATAAGAAAAGAAGGCTCTTGACTATGTTACTGCTCTTAGTTACATTGTAACCATACAAGGTTTACTGTGGACTGCCATGTAACAGTGTGTTATTACATCTCTAAAGATTACTTGGTAATGAAATCTAAGAACTCCAGAATTAATTACCTTGAAGCCTCAAGTCATTACAGTCCATGCCATTCTTCACAATAAAAACATGCTCGTTACTGTCTTGTAAACCTATCACAGTAAGGTACTTATTAAGGAATTGAATGGACAATACTTTAGTTACCATTTGTAACAGAGTTATAATGTGGGTACAGACCAGCCAACTTAAGTTTCCATGCACCAAACCAGAATTTTTTTTTAAACGATTTCACTCTTCTTTTTAAAATGAATGTGTTATAAAGGTATAAACCTTTGAAAAGGCTAAGCTTTCAGTGTAACAAAAGGTGAGTTAGAACAGCATGATTCTCCCTTTTAGGGATATATCGGTTTAAAAACAAACACAAAACCACTGTTGTTGTATACCAAACCATAATCAAAGGGATTCTTCTTAAATTAATTATGTAAAAGGGGGCAGATGTGTTTCAAGAATATTTTCTGTTCAAGTTCATAATTAATATTTAACATTATATTTAAACTCTGTAAAATAAAGCAACACGTTTCCAGACAGTACTTAAGACGCTGTCATTACTTTATATTCTTAAATATTTTTTAGTTCATCCTCGGGGAAGGCTAACCTTAATTTATGCTGTTTCATTTTGTAAAAATCAATACTGCTGCCTTGCTTATGAGGCTCAAAATCAGATTCTTACCAACTATTATAAAATGTATTTTTTTGTGAATTCTAATGGCCTGTGTTCTAGTAGACTATTAGTTGCAGAGTTAGGTAAATATCCTTAATTCTTATTTTTAAATATATGTGTTGAGAGAATTGCTTACAATGATGGAAAAGAAACAGAATCACTGTCTGTTAATTTCTCCACAAGTGTTTTACATTTATACATTTTTTTTCTTACCACTTTATTTGAGTCATTAATGTAAGAAGGCCTTTAACCGAATGAAACACAGATTCATATGCACCACATTTTATGAGTTTTCAGAAGCCATTTGGGTAGTTGGATACATTTTATATGCTCTGCCATTAAATCCAAAGGATTTTTAAATAACCTATTGCTTTTGTGAACTTTCATATGCAGCAGAATAAATTTCAACATTGTTCATCCCAGCTAAGGGTGAACTCATGTTTTCAGCATCTTGTCCCATTGCAGATGGAAGAGCGTCGAGACAGCATGTTGGAGACAGCCAAACTCTGCTTTACTTCGGCATCTCGCTGTGAGGGAGATGGAGATGAAGAAGAGTGGCTTATTCACTACATGCTGGGAAAGATTGCAGAGAAGCAAAAGCAGTCTCCAGCTGTCTATCTGCTTCATTACAAACAGGCAGGTCACTACCTCCATGAAGAAGCTGCCAGGTATCCAAAGAAGATTCACTACCATAACCCACCAGAACTGGCCATGGAGGCATTAGAGGTAAAATGGAAAAACACACACAAAAGCTTGGTGCCAGGTCTACTAACTAAACTGAATCAGAATTTAACAGCTGTTACCATGTTTTCAGTGTGTTGAAAATGTTGCCACACATGCATAGTTTAACCAGTAGACACCATTTTCTGGTTTTAAACCTCTGTGTTTTAAAATTTTGTTTTTTCTCCCATTAGTTGAAATAACGATAATCATTATTATTAGAGTAGTGGCAATAGATGTGCATTGTACTTTCGAGATGGAAATATATTCAAGGCAAAAACCAGGAATCAAATGGAATTCCTAAATGCTTGCATTATAAAGCCAGTTTATAGGTATGGTACTGGTATCAGATAATGCTATTATTTATCACTTATTTAATAAGAGTCAAATTCGCTTTACCCACATAAAACTCATCAGTCAGACTTTGAGGTTGAAATATAGGTGGTTGGGGTGAAATCCATCCCCTCGCCCAGAGGCAGGGCATGAGCCCATGGGCTGATGTAGTAGTCACAGACCCTCTGCATCCATGGTGCAGCTTGTTAAGGACACTGGCTGTAGTATGTATCCAATGACCTCCTCCCATGTCTGTCCTCATTGCTTCATTCCATTGCCTGGAGGGAGCACATTTTTGTTCTGAAAACCTGTGCCGTTTACTTGACTGGGATGGACAGGAAATGTCCTGATGGGGTACATGTGACAGCAAATAACTTGCTCTGCAAATCTCAGAAATTTTTGTAGAGCAGGGCCTACTTCTTGGAACTAGTTTCAGAATTCTGAGCTCTCTTCTGATTTAATGGACTGTGTTTTGTTTTCCTAGGTTTACTTCCGGCTTCATGCCTCTATTCTGAAACTTGTGGGGAAGCCAGACTCTGGGGTGGATGCGGAGATATTACTTACTTTCATGAAGGAGGCTTCTGAGGGACCATTTGCCAGGGGTGAAGAGAAGAACACTCCAAAAGTTACAGAAAAGTGAGTGCTAACTTCCAGAAAATACTCTGAAAACATGCTTTTTCCACAACAAGTAGGCTTTTAATGTAAAGATTATTATTTGTGTAGACATCTACATAGATTCAAAACAGGTGTGCCACAAACTATTACAGTAACAATGAATGTGCTGTAAACCAACAGAAGCCCCAAATTGTTAAGACTTTAACTCACTCTTATGACATCTAGTGTTCCACATCATAGAACTTACATTATTGATTTTTCTGAGATCTCTGCAATATATAGGCACAATGTAAGGAGGAAGGTTAACAAGAGACGGGGACAAGCTCATCTTTGGATACACTGGTGAAACCATTATTTTTGATTAATTAGCAGATGCTTTACTTAAAAGTCCAGCTTAATTTATTGACAGGAGCCCTCTAGCTTTGGTTTGTTAATGGCTATAAAGTAAGATGTCTTGACACAAACCATTGATGGGGATCCAGTTTGCCCTTTTTCATTTCTTTCCTGTGTCTTATGGTGAAAATCCATCTTGTTGATGTTGCTCATAGATTTGATTATATACAGAAGATAATGATGCAAGAGGAGCAGTCTGTTTCCATTTAATTTACATAGACACTGACTATGCTAATACTCTTCCTTTTCATTTTTGTCTTCTTCCCATCTACCCAGGGAAAAGACTTGCATGATTGATGAAGACTCTCACTCTTCTGCTGGAACAGTACCAGGCCCTGGGACTTCCCTCCCCTCATCCTCTGGTCCAGGTCTGACATCCCCACCTTACACAGCCACTCCAGTTGACCACGATTACGTCAAATGTAAAAAACCCCGTCAGCAGGCAACGCCGGATGGTACAGTCCCTGTTCTCAATACTGCCAGCACAGGGAGGTGCTTTAATCATGGGGGGCTTGACCTGGGAAGATCAATCTGCTCATTTCAAGGAGGGTGATGGGTCTGTGGTAACACGGGCAATATTGCTGCTCATTAACTTCATAAATTCACAGTGGTCAGAGCTTTAAATAAAACATTCAAGGTCGTCACCTCCCACCCAAACTAAATGGGAATGGGAGTGGGATGGAGTATGTGGCTATTAAATGGTCCTTCAGTAATGTGGCATATCTCTAGAGCCAATCATGTACTACTTGAGCTTATGAGGAAAGACTTGGGTTTAATTGATACCTGAGGTTGTACCATTTCAGTGCTTCCTTGACTTGGTGAGAATCTGAGCAGTTCAGTTAACTTTTTGTGATGTTCCATCCAAAAAAATCTCACCAGAGTTTATCCCATTTGGAATGAGGCAGGTGGCGACTGTCTGAATATATTGCTTATCAGCACAAGGTGATTTGCATGGTGGTCTAATAGACTTCATCTTTTAATTTTTTCTTTATTATTTACAACAACTGGCTAGCAGCACATTTCTGTGGATCATAAAATAACAGCTGATTGGTTTAGAAAGAAAAGTAGTAGGGCAGTGTAGTGGTGTCGTTGCAATACAAATTAATAGAAATCTACTATTTAGGAAACCTGACACTATCTTTTGGCAGGCAATTTTGTTTCAACATCACCACACTGGTGACCAGCTTAGCTATCTGTCCCTCTAGATTTGTGGCTACCAACATTCATGAATAAAGTACATATTCTGCAGAGTGCTTCTGCAGGTGAATGTTGATGGATTACAGCATCCTCCTTGAGGAACTGCTCTTCCTGATCTGAACTTATTTCTTTTGGGTGGGCTGCTTCCATGCCTGTCAACATTTCAAAAATATTTAAACCATAAAAATGTGACCCAATTTTGAAACCAGTAGCTAAATGTCCAGTACCCGACAAGGTGTATTTGTTTGCTTTTCTTCCCTACTAATAAATAACTTCTCGATTAAAACCAGCAGAGGGTTTTTGCATTTCCTTCACTAACCTGAATATTTAAAAGTTTGTTTTATCCAAACCTTCATTTCAGTATGCAGTAATTCGTTCACGGTTTTAACAGAGAGTCAGACAGAGTGTGTGTGTGTGTGTGTGTAATATGTATGTACATACACACGCACATTAGTGTGAATGAGTTGTATATAGGCAGGCACTTATACTGCTTTAGCTGCTCTGTGTCCTTTCTCTACCAGTCGTGTGTGTGTGTGTGTGTGTATATAAGTAAAATATAAATGAGAGAGAGAATAGGGATAAAGATTTAGGGCCTGATCCAAAGCCTATTAAAATCAATGGGAGTCTTTGCATTGACTTCAGTGGGCTTTGGATCAGATCAGACTCATACAGGATGTGCCTGGAAAGCAAGAAGTTTCTTTATGTAGCTAGTATGCTTTGGAAATCATTGGACAGTCACCTCTATTTGTTGGCAGGTACATTATTTACTTCTCTGTTGTCAGCCACATTCATTAGCAGATAGTTTTTGCCCTGTTAGTCAAAGATTCTTCTCGAATAATTCTGCTGTTACTTGGATGTGGGGCCAGTCATGACCTGCTTTTTTCCCCCCACTCGTTGTGGAGACTGACATTGCAAACGAAAAATGTAAAAAAAATTAAAAAGTATCCTAAAATAATATGCACGGTGCGATCCAATTCTCTGCCAGACTTCATATGCGCAGGCCCTACAGCTTGCTGAAATGTTTTGTGGAGACAGATGAGTTGTTGCAGTTCATGTCATGGGTGCATTCGCTCACAAGAAGGTGTAATGGGTGATGGCACACTAATCTCCTGCTGGGAGGAAGGTGGGCTACTTAGCAAAACCAAAAGGTGCAAGCTAAGGAGCTGCTACATCCATCAGGGTTGAAGCAGCAATTATAGGAGCTGCAAGCCTGGCATAGCATAGCTGTTGTCACAGCTATAGAGATTGTCAATTTGTAGAAGAAGTCAAGTTAGGGTGCCCTCTTGGAAGGTAGAGTGTGACTATTACAGGTAGAATTGCAAAGCACTGCACCAATCATAATGCCTTATAAATTGCTGGCAAAGCCAAACTACAGCAGCAGCACACTGAAGAGCCCCAGGAAATTAAAATGTTTGCCTAGGGCTGCTGTTGCAGATGGAGGAGTGCTAACAGGTTGGGAAGCTCAGAAGTGACTCACCTTTGTGTGTGTGTGTGTTACTAATATTGCATTGCTTTGCATTAATTTGCATAATACTTTTGTTAAAATATGTACTTTTTAAAGTAAAGTGCTACTGACATCTTTAACGCAACCTAATTGCCGCAGAAGTGTGGTGTCTGCATTTCCATTATACTGTTCCTAAAAATAGTCAATTGCTTTCTTTTTTTTTTTAACTTACTACTTTGGGGAAACTTTTTGCTATTCTGACACCAGTTGAAATGGCCCACACTGGCATTGTTTGTGAATGAAATAGTTTGGCCCAAATTCAGTTCAGTTATCTACCCTAATTGTCTTAGTATTTTTATGTACTTTTTACCATGGCACCTGATAAAGGACAATAATATAAGTGACTACAATAGATCCCCCACACAAAAATCCCCTCTGCCTGAATTGCCAAAAGCAAACTTAGTAAATAACTCAGCAATGGTCCATAGTCAAACAAATGCTTTACCCAAGATATCTTGTACTGTACCCTGAGGTCAGCAAACTGGCTGACTTCTAGAGAGAGTGAGTTCATCCACAGACAGGAGCCCTTCACTGAAAATCACTGGACTCCAATCCTCAAGTGTGCACCTCTACACAGCTAAAATGTAAAGGGCAAGCATTTATTTTCAGGTGATGTAGCTGTAATGTCCATATAGTACTATGTAGTGTAGTTGTATCCATTTTGGTCCCAATATATTGGCGAGATAAGGTGCGTGAAATCATATATTTTAGTGGACCAACTTCTGTTGGTGAGAGAGACAAGCTTGCACCTTATCTCTCTCATATTGTACTATAACTGTCCAGCATATTTCTATATCTGTGAAAAGATGGACACGAAATTTGGAAATGACTGCTATAGTGTAGACCGTTTTGAATCCCTTTTGCATTGGTTTAGAATATCATGCTTTAGACAAACTGGAAAATATAGAGCAATAAAAGCTTGTAGAGTAGTACAGTACATACATTTCTAGCCCTGTCTCCCTATGGCAGCTGCTGACCTGCATCTTTCCTTCAGGAGGCAAGAAATATAGCTGAGCTGCAGCTAGTGTTTGCTGGCAGTTGTGCATGCACAAAACAGGTGGCTGCTTCTCTCAGTGCTCTTTCTTACTCATTCACCAGGCAACATCTCCTTTTCCCCTTTGTTGTGTTAGCCCAGTCTCTCCTTTTCCCTCCCCTTCACATCGCTGGTTTTGTAACCCAACAGAGTAAAAATCTGAATTTAACAGTGGATGAACCAAATGTAGACCTCTGTTGTTTACTATTTTAAAATAGCAGTCTGGGATTAAATAGGACATTTGCCTCACCTAGGATATCACTATGATTAACTTACCCAGCTAGAGGGCCAACTTTCTACTGAATGCACAGTGATTAAGCCATGGATATGTGCAGCTCTTCACAGAGAGACAGGGAGAAAATACAGACTCTCAACAGTTACAGTCTCAATGTATTCAGCTAATCCCTGTTTTAAATATTGAAGTTAATTCAGAAAGAGAAAAAATAAAAGGTGTATCTAAATAAAAACAGTTATCCAAATAAGAAATCTAGTTCCCAGAGAGAGAACTGAAAAGTTTGTCCTTTTGCTGTGGCATCTGTCTTTTGAATATGTTGATGTTCAGCTATGTATGTATCTATCAATGAAGTGTTGTGAGACAGTGCAGAAAATGCATGGAATGCCCATTGCTACTGTAATGCTGAAACATTATATTATTGTTGTCTTTACCCTTGTCATTTACTGCCTTCTGTTCAATTATATGTGATTATCCTTTTTTTATGTTTATCTTTGCTTGACTGCTTTTGCAACCAATATTGCCCGTGCTGCCCCTAACCTTTATACAGTTCTGTTCCCTAGACATTTTCTTCCTGCTTTTACCTGTCACGGCTTGCTTCAATAATTGGCAAAAACTGCATGTTAAGCTCACTGGGAAAGGCTACTTGCTTCGTGCTGTGGGAGGAGTCCCACTTCATAATCCGCTGGTCCTGTGATTCTGCAAATGATGTAGAGGTGTGCAGTTTCTGTGAGAGTGGGATTCTCAAGATATTGATGAGTCAAAGGTGATCCATGAGGATATTGTGCATCAACTTGTCACTGGTGCAAGAATTTAGTGAGACTCAAGAGAGCGGACATTTAGATGGATAACCAGAATATCCAGAGTTATAACAGTTAATACAAACAGAGTTTTGGAAGGGATACAAAATCCTCATGCATCAGCGTTTAAACCAATCTCTCACTATTAGAGATTAGAATGAAACCTTCATGGCGGGAGATAATTGTACATTTGACTACTGTTGTGATTTGCACCTGCCTCTGTGGCATCTGGAACTGGATGCTCTTGGAGACAGGACATTGGACTAATGGATCCAGGATGGCAATTGCTATTATCTTGCTTTTTTATCCTTTCTGTAATTTAATCTATTTAGCGCCCCTATTTTAATGGGGTTGAATGAGAAAAAATCTGAAATTGATATTCAGTATAAAAATTTATAAGAAGAATCTGACCAGATAAATGGAATGTTGATGAGCCTCTGTGCTCTGAGATTGTTGATGGTAGAAGTATAGCAGTTGTTAGAGTTACTAGTTACTAACATGTATCTAATGATTTGATGAAACTAGACCCAATCCAGGATTACATCTTTGACTCATTTTGTAAGGGAAGTCCCTTCTGTACATGGAGAGAGACACTCTGCCTCAAGTGGTGAAGCTGCTCCAGTGCAAAACTCAACTTTTTATCTTTTTCTTTTTTAAAAAAAAAAAATTAATTACATGAAAGTGCATTT